CACCGAGCCCCCCGCCCCACCTCAGACGCCCCCCCCTGAACCCCCTGCCCCCCACCGAGCCCCCCGCCCCACCTCAGACGCCCCCCCACTGACGCCCCCTGCCCCCCACCAAACGAGCCCCCCCACTCGATCCCCCACCGCACAGCCCCCCCACTGAGCCCCCTGCCCCCCCACCGAGTCCCCCACCCCCCACAGAACAGCACCCCCCACTGAGATCTTTGCCCCCCACCGCAGAGCCCCCCTACTGACCGCACAGCCCCCCCACTGAGCCCCCCCACCCGCCCCCTGGAGCATGGTCCCCCCCTGTGCCGCCCCACTAATGGTGTTTCTCTCTCTCTTGCAGGGGGACCGCAGCCACCGGCCCCACACCCCCAGCGCCCCCGTCCCAGCAGCGACCCCCCCACAGGGGGCAGCAGCTCTCCGGCCTGGCTCCCCAGCCCGGCGGCCCCCCCCAGCAGCAGCGCCTGCCCAGCCCCACTGGCCCCCAGCAGCGCCCCATGGGCCCCCCCCAGCAGCGCCAGCCGGGCCCCGGCCTCCCACAAGGCCCCCGGGCTCCCCAGCCTGGCGGGGGAGCCCCCCCAGCCCCCCAGCCCCAGCGGGGACCCAGCCCCGGGGCCGGGGGTCAGTCCCCCCAGTCACAGGCGAAGTCTGGGGGGGGGCCCTCCCCAGCCTCAGCAGCCCCCCCAGCAGCGCCCCCCGGGGGCCCAGCAGCGAGCGCCGCCCCGGCAGAGCAGCCAGGGGGCGCCCTCCGGCCAGCGGGGCCCCCCCAGCCCCGTCCGGCGCCCCCCACCACCCAGCAGCCGCGGCCCAGCGCCCAGGGGGGCAGCCGCCCCCCCCAGCACACGGAAAACCCCAAGTGGCTCAGAAACCCACCCCGGAGCTGCCGGTGCCCCAGCCCCAGATGAAGTAAGGACCCTCCCCCCCAGGACTCCTGGGTTCTCTCCTGGCTCGGGGAGGGGAGTGGGGGGTAGTGGGGATGGGGGGGTGGGGCTGGGAGCCCGGACGCCTGGGTTCTCGCCCTGGCTCTGGGAGGGGAGTGGGGGCTAGTTTTGGGGGGGGGTAGAACCACCCTGGTCGGGCCTGCGGGGCGGATGGGGGGGGTCTCCATTCTCCTGCTTGTCTCCCCCTCACCGCTTATGGCCTGCGCCTAAGGGGGGCGGGAGGGGTCAGTGCCTGTCCCAGGGGGGGCCCATCACCCCCTGCTGTGCTACCGCCTGGCATGGATTAATCGTGTCTTTCTCTCCCCCCCCCTTCCCCTCCCCCCCCATGGCCCCTCCCCCCCCCAGCAAGTCCCAGTCTCTGACCAGTTCCTTCCCCCTCGCAGAGCCGGCGCGGGGCAGCGCTAGCCCGGAGGAGGCCCGGGCCGAGTCCATCCGGTCACTGCGCCAGAGCTTCGCCAGCCTGTTCTCCGAGTGACCCCCCCGAGCTTCGCCAGTCTGTTCTCCGAGTGAC